ATCTTTTTAAGCTGTGTGTGTGTACAGTGCCAGCAGAAGCCAGAAGATGTTGGACCCTGTGCACCTGGAATGTTGTGAGCTGCCTGACATGGGTACTGGGAAGTGAACTCAGTTCCCCTGGTAGAGCAGTACACTCTTAACCTTTGAGTCATCTCTCCAGACCCACTGGTGCCTCATTTCTAATCAAGTATTTTTTCAGCCTTTCAAAAACTTCAGTTGCTCTCTAGTAACTCCATATTCACGGGCACTGCAATACTTCTATACAAGGTGCAGTGAACAGACCAAGGCACCTAAGCATATGATCCTAGACTTGTCAAAGGCAACATTCAAGTGCCTTTCCACAGGGTAGCCCAGGCCAGCCTCTAGCTCACTGCCATCTGCCTCGTAATTACTGAGATTAAAACTATATGCCACCATACCCACATAGATTTTTGGCTTTGAGACAAGCTATCATTATTTTGTCCAAGCTGCTCTCAAATTTGTGGGCTCAAGTAATCCTCCCACCTCAGCTTACCAAGTACTCAAAGTATAGGTTTATATTAACACAGTCAGCCTAAATAGCATGTTTTAAACATGTTTTCATATAAACAAGATGTGAAGAAAACAATTCTTCACCAAGCTGTGGACCTCATTAAATTAGATAACAAGGTTTTCTAGTGTCTCTCTGGGTCTCCTCCACAATTCTTTCTTTCTTTTTGAGATGGGGTCTCACTATGCAGCTCTGCTGGCTTGTAACTCATGTAGACCAGGCTGGCCTCCAACTCACAGAGATGCAGTTCATCTGCCTCTGCTTCCTGAGTGCAGAGATTAAACACATGCACCATAATGCCCAGCTTTCCTCCATGCTTCAAAAGAACTCTTGAAGGGCTGGAGACATGACTCAACAGTTAACACACTGGCTGCTCTTCCAGAGCATGCAGGTTCAATTCCCAGCACCCAACTGTCCCACTCCCAATTGTCTCTGACCCCAGTTCCAGAGGATCCAATGTCTTCTTCTGACCTCAGTGGGCCCTGCATGCACTAGGTACACAAACATACATGCACACAAAATAATAAAATAAATATAATTTGAAAAAATAAAATTATTCTTGAGACATGAGGCTCTGTTCAGATGACAAAGGAGAGCACAGGAGACCACATACTCTTGAACCCAATTAGCTCTACCTTGTCTTCCCTTTTGCTTTTTTCTTTATTCACGTGCTAAACTCAAAACTTTGTCCACTGAGACACACGCATAGCCCCTTCTCCACTTTCTTCTTCTTTTTCTTTTTTTTATAATTTATTTTTATTTTATGTACATTGGTGTTCTGCCTGCATGTCTGTGCGAGGGTGTCAGATCCCCAAGAACTGGAGGTACAGCCAGTTATGAGCTGTCATGTGGTTGCTGGGAATTGAACCCAGGTCCTTTAGAAGAGCAGTCAGTGCTCTTAAGCGCTGAGCCATCTCTCCAGGCCCCCTCCCCTTTTTTCTTTTTCTTTAGTGGGGGGAGGCAAGTTGGGTTTGGGGGGTTTATTTCTTCTTCCTCTTCCTCCTTGTCGTCTTCCTCCTACTCTTTTTCTTTTTCTTCTTTTTGGTTTTTCAAGACAGGATTTCTCTGTAGCCCTGACTGTCCTGAAACTCACTCTGTAGAACAGATTGGCCTCAAACTCAGAGATTCGCCTACCTCTGCCTCCTGAAGGCCGCCATTAAAGGTGCACACCGCCACACCTGGCAGGCCTTCTCCACTTCCTTTTCACAGAACTGGGATTGAACCTAGGACCTCCTTCTGTGCTGGGCAAGCTGTCGGTACTACTGAGCTATATGCTCAGACTACCTCCTTTGTTCCCTTAACTTTAAAACCTTTTTGTTGTTGGTTTTTGAGACAGCGTTTCACTCTGTAGCTCAGGCTGACTTGGAACTCACTATGTAGTTCAGGCTGGCTTCAAGCTTGGTGATCCTATCCTAGGTCTCCCAAGTGTTGAAAATTACAGAAGTGAATCATGCAAGGATGCTGTGTTAACTATGTACCTGCTTTTCTCATTGCAATGGAAACGTATCATTCTAAAGACTATGACGACATTCCATAAAACATATTAAATCAGGCTGCTAATCACAGAGCAAGATGTGCAATACACAATTATAACCTCAGCAGTCGGGGGGTGGGGTACAAGTTTAAGGCCAGGGTGAACTGCACAGCACGACCCTGCCTCAAATCAAAGAGAGCCTAGTAGGTAACAATACAGTTTAAAAAAAAAAAAAAAGTGAGTTGCTGGAAAGATGGCTCTGGGGTTAGGAATATTTGCTGCACTTGCAGAGATGTGGAGTTCTGTTGCTTGTACCCACATGGCAGCTCACAACTGCCTATAACTCCTGTGCCAGGGGATTTGATGCCCTCTTCTGGCCTTGTGCAAATATCCACATAAAGAAATTTATTATGTGTACAGTGTTCTGCCTGCATGTATGCCTGCTTGCCAGAAGAGGGCACCAGATCTCATTATAGAAGGTTGTAAGCCACCATGTGGTTGATGGGAGTTGAACTCAAGACCTTTGGAAGAACAGCTAGTGCTCTTAACCTCGAGGCATCTCTCCAGCCCCCTAAAAAATAAAATATTAAAGGAGAAAAAACAGAATGACTCTCTCAGAAGACCCCACACACAGTCATGTCTCTAGGGTGTGTCTTAGTTTCTTACATAGTGCACTCCCAACCCTCGAGCTTAATATCTATTTCAAAATATCTTTAATAAAGAAACTCTGGGGGCTGGAGAAATGGCTCAGACATTAAGAGAACTGTCTGCTCTTCCAGAGGTCCTGAGTTCAATTCCCAGCAACCACATGGTGGCTCACAACCATCTATAATGAGATCTGGTGCCTTCCTCTGCTATGCAGGCACACATGCAGGCAGAACACTGTATACATAATAAATAAATAAATAAAAATTTTAAAGAAACTCTGTTTTTAAAAGTGGAGGTAAGATAAAGAAACTTCAGAAAAAATATCAGCAAAAAAATTTTGTTGTAGCCAAAAGGAATAATGTTTAGGGATTTTTTAAAAGCCTAAATGCAGCTAAAGTGTTTCCTAACAAAGATCAAAAGACACTTAATGCAGTTCTGAAAACAACTGTCTAATCTTGGCCACATACAGAACAGGTTGTTCAATCCTGGCCAAACTAAGACTGGAGAAACAGGAATGATGCAGGATCAGACTTAATCAAGAATGTGTCATTGTTCTACATCTCAACAGTTTTTTGGGGAAAAAAATCTGTAAATCTGTGCAATGCAATTCGAACAAAGATCAGTTTATGTCAATGGTCAGTGGGGCTGTTTCCACAGATAAGGTTAAGCTTTCATGCTGAGTAGGCCCTTAGTGTTAATATCAAGAAAATTTAAGGGGTAAAGGTTTGTGAGCACATCTGAAGAACTCAATACAGAGTGCACCCTAATCTACACTGCATTTCAAAATCTCCTGCAACTGTGTCCTGAGCTCTAGCTAATAAATTTATCTGATTAGCGTTGCAAAGCTAGAGCATGTGGGTTCAGGCATAAATAACAAGTTTTATAACTTGGAGTCAAAGGCCAATAGGGATTCTTCCAGACACCTGGCGAGAAGGTTCAATGGATGAAGGCATCTGCTGCCAAGCCCGGCTACCTACACTTGGTCCCTGGGACCCACATGGTGGAAAGAAAGAACAGATTCCTGAGGGCTGTCTTCTGACCTCCAAACATGAATGCCTATTTACAAGCACAAAAACAAATAAATAAATAAGTGTTATTTTAAACACTTATCTTAACTGGACCTGGTATGTGGTCCATCGTGCTAGACACCAAAGATACACAGGACACATGCACAAGACTGGGCGCCTTACCACAAAACAGTTGGTGCTAGTGTAAAATGGAAAATTCGCTGCACAGTTGTTCTTAAAACAGGAGGAATCTGAGGCTTACCAGGGTCTGCAGACTCAATAGTGATGCCCTGCACACAGAGCATGTGGCATCTATAAGAGCTACTTGCATTTTCCCCCTATTTATTTATTTATTTATTTGAAACAGTGTCTTACTATGCAGCCCTGGCTGGCCTGGAACTCATTATGTGGACCACACTAGCCTTAAACTCACAGAGATACACCTGCCTCTGCCTCCAGAGTGCTGTTATTAAAGGCATGCACCACCACACCAGGCTTGCCTCTTTATTTTCACAGACTCACTAAAAAGTCAATTAAATGATTACAGAACAAGGATAGGCTACGCTTCTCAGAAGAAAAACCCAGGATGATCAGTGTTCCTGTAAATACAACATAAACACAATATATATTCAGCACATACTGTAGCATAAATGCAAATTTAGTAGAGCTATCCTCTTGACCATTCCATGCAAGAACAAATAATCCTCAGACTTCACTTTTTACACATTAAAAAGGCCTGTAACTGCCCCCACCTCCCCTCACTCACACATATACACACACATACTAATGGCAGCTTGTGTAAACTCTAAATGTCACTGTTTCTTCACAAATTCTTAAAAGGAAATAGACAGTCACTTGCTAACAGGGTGTTAGCACCCCTGAAGAGCAAGAAGGAAAGCCCCCTATGACAAGTGAGTCTTAGGGACACTTGAGAGCACACCTAAGCGGCTGCTGTTTGCTGATCCCATTCCCCTCTCCATAAGCTTTCTGAATCTCAAAGAAGGCACTTGAAGAGCTAGTTGAGTTTAATGCTGGAAAATATGAAAAGACTTCATCTTTATTTACAAAATGAATTCTTTCACAAGTAGTCTTATGAATTATGGGAAGTGAAATTTCAGATAAGAAATTCCGGACTAAAGACACAAGTATGAATTAGCATAGTGGCACACACCACCTATAAATGACAGCAGCATTCCAGAGGCTGAGGAAGAGTGAGTCACAAGTTCAAAGCCAGTCTCAGCCATATGGCAAGTCTGAAGTAGACCTAGACTACACATTGAGGTCACACCTCAAAAACTCACAAAACAAATCTTCTACACTGTGGTTAGTTTTCATAATCCCAGCACTGTGAAGGCTAAGGCAGGAGGCAGGGGGCCAAAGACTAGCCTAGGCTCCACAGTGAGAGGCACGTGGCAGCCACAGCTCTAGCCCACTGGTTAAAACCTAGCAAGGCATCCAGACACATCACTTGTCCTCTTTGGATTGTCCTTCATCTACGAAACAAAGGGACCAAAACTGCAGCTGCCAAGGTCTATATTTTATCTTTCTTTCTCTAAACAAACATGGAGAAGAATACTAAAACTCCAAATACACACCAGGTAAGGTGGACACACACCTTTAACCCTAGGAGGCAGAGGCAGGCAGATCTCTGTGAGTTCAAGGTCAGGCTGATACACATAGTGAGCTCCAGGCCCACCAAGACTATACAGTGAGACCCTGTCTCAGCTAGAGGATAAAAGGAGGGGGATCCAAATATAGCAAGAAAAACAAGTACTAATGGACACAATCTAATTCATGCTACTGACCTAACAGTTGAGCTAAAGGGCTATGAGGCAGGCTCCTCTATTACAAGGTGACAAGCAAGGCTGGCCTGTCACTCTGCAACCGAAGTTCCACAGAGGTGACCAGGGCACAGTGGAAAAGTACTAGCCTGGGAGTTGGGTGTTAGCTGAGCTAAAGGCTTGTATTAGGTAAATATCACCTTGTTCTTCTCAGGTATAAATTGACAGGATTACAGTTACCTCTGGCCCTCCCTAAAACCACAGCTCCTATTTCCCAGTCAGTCTCACCTACCCTTTTGTAATGCATTGCTTCCAGAAACATCTTTGTCTGCTTATAGATCTCTTGGCCTGTCTTGTGGAAGGTCTTGAGAAAGTCTATGAACTCCTTAGTCACTCGGTCCGTCTCAATGCTGGTTTGCCGGTTTATGGAGGGACTGGGAGCCTTGGCCTCCTGAATTTCTGCTGGGAAAATTAAACACAGTAAGTTTTGTTACCCAGAAGACTGATATATAGAATTACTCTATGTAGCTAACAAGATTACTGAAATTATATTTAATCAAAATTAAAGTTATATCACTTTTATAGTTAAACATTTGGAATGAGTTTCCTTAAAGTAAGGAAAATTAAAGTATAAGTAGGTAAAACTACATGATCAGCAGAACTGGAAATGTGGCTCAGTTGGTGAAGTGCTTGCCTGGCATGTACCAATCCCTGGGTTTCAGCCCCAGTAATGCATCAACTAGGCATCAGCTAGCCCCAGTAATGCACCACGTAGTAGCACAACTACTACCCCAGCACTTGAAAAACAGAGGCAGGAGAATCCAGGTTAAGTTCAAGGTCTACCTCAATTGCCTAGTGAATTTGAGGCCAGCCTGGTCTACAAAGTGAGTCCAGGATAGCCAAGGCTACACAGAGAAACCCTATCTCAAAAAAAAAAAAAAAAAAAAAAAAAGCAAAAAGCAAATCAAGTCATAACAAAGCCCTTCATACCTTGCTACCAACCAAACAGCGTTAAGGTGAGTAAAAGATGAAGGAAGGCAGAATGCTCTATTATAAGGCAACACAGGAAGGGGCCTAGTGTTCCCATAAGTTAGAGGTTCCACAGAGATGACCACAGAGTGTGGTGGAAAAGTACCAGTGCCACACCCCTCAGATAAATAAAATCTAAAAAATAAAAACCAACCATGGGCCAGTAAGATGGCTCAACACAAGAAAATGTTTGCCATGCAGGCCTGGAGATCTTAGATTTATCTCTAGAACCCATATAAAGAGAAAAGGAAAAAACTCCACAAAGTTGTAATGTTATCTACACAGGTACACAAACACACACCAAACTAATAAATGTTTAATTTTTTTTAAGCTAACAGAAAGCAAAGAAGAAATATTCAATAGAGCTGCTCATTAGCATTCTTTTAGTCAATGTATATTGTATCAATATACAATGCTTTGATCTCTATCATTAATCACTAACACTGAAATGGTGCCCTTTCTTGAACAACTTTTTTGCCAGTTGCCTGAGTCTGTCAAGAAAGTCACCAATGGAAATAACCACCCATCGAAGCACAAAGACATCAGGTAACACACAGCATTAGAGAACCTTCTAAGTCAAACTTCACCTACCAAAAAGGCAAAGGCAAATTTACTTCCCCACTGTTCAGTTTGCAAGTCACACTGCTCACAGTGAAGATGCATCTAAACTGGAAGAGGATGAGGCAGGAGGATCAAGTTCTAGGTTAGCCTGGATTACAAAGAGCATTTGACATCATCGTGAGCTATGTAACAAAATTCTATCACCACCACACAAAGAGAAAGGTTTTGTTTGTTTTTTCCTTTTGAGACAGAATCCTCCTGCCTCAGCTTCCTAAGGGCTGGGACTGCAAGTATCTACTGCCATGGCCTACACACATAAAAAGAAACCACAAGGTATTAAAATCAACCAACTTCACACACATTTTATTTGTCTGTTTTTCAGACAGGGTCTCACTATGTAGCTCTGGCGGACCTGGAACTCAGTAAGTAGGCCAGGCTGGCCTTGGACTCACAGAGATCCACCTGCCTCTACCTCCTTAATTCTGGGAGATGCCTAGCCCCACACTTTATTTACGAGGAAACTCCTAACTTCCATCCACGAAGATATACCCCACCCCTCACAAAACTAGACAGATAGACAAACAGATGACAGAATTACTTGTATATTTTATGCATATGGGTGCTTTGTCTGCATCCGAAGAAGGCATCAGATCTCATTATAGGAAGCTGTATGGCACCATGTCAGTGCTGAGCCATTTCCAGCCCCAAGACCAATAATCTTAACAGGGAAAACAGACACTTCATACACGACAAATACACAAATTAAAGCACAAGAAGATGTCATTTGAAAAGCTAATTAAGCAATTTAGTAATAACAATATAAAAAGTTAAAAAGTCAAGTTAGTAATAACCAACAAAATCGTAGAAATCTATGTTGGTTTGAATCAGAATGGCCCCCACAGGCTCATACATAAATTTGCATGTGTAGTCTGCCATCAGTGAACTGTTTGGGAAGGATTAGAAAGACTAGAAGGTGTGGTCTTTGGGGAAGTTTAACCCTGGGGGTGGGCTTTGAGCTTCTAAAAGTCCATACTAGGCCCAGTGGTTCTCCGCCTGCTGCTGCCTATGATCAGATGTAAAGCTCTCAGCCACTTATCCAGCACCATGCCTGCTTCCATTCCAGCACAATCTCCACCATGAGGATAATGAACTAAGCTCTGAAACTATAAGCAAGTCTACAATTAAAAACCTTCTTTTTTAAGACTTGCCTTGATCATGGTGCCTCTTCACAGCAATAGAAACCTAAGTAAGACAAAATCTGAAATTTGATTTGGACCGGAATACAACAGCCTCTTACACTCTGCAGGTGGGATGCAAGCGACAGAACTTTGAAAGGGGGCAATTTAGGAAGAACGGTCTAAGGTAAAACCCACGCACCCAGCTGGGCATGGAAGCTGCAAAGCAATCAGGAGGCTGAGGCAAGAGGAATGTGGATTCCAGGCCAGCCTGGGCTACAGAGCAAGACCTGTGCCACAACAACACTAAGGGTAGAAAAAGATACAGTCAAGGTAGCACAAAGAGCTTACTCCTAACCACAAAGAAGGGCATTCCACACAGAAAGTTAACTCTCCAAGGCACAGCAATCCAAAATATAGAGCTAATGTCACAGCTCCAAAAATGCAGAAAGCAAAAACAGAAGTGTAAGGAGTACACTTCTCACAGCTGGAGAGTTCTATCCCCCTCTGAGTGGCTGACAAAACAAGAGTAAGAGATCGATAAGAACACAATACCAGGCAGGCCGGATGGCTCAGCAGGTAAAGGAACTTGCTGCCAAGACTGACAACATGAGTTTGAGTCACAGAGCCCCCAAAGGAAAGGAGAAAAAAAACAACTCTCAGACCTTGTCCTCTGACCCTCACATGTTCATCATGGCCTACACACACCCCTCACTCTCTCTGTAATAAAACACTTTTGTTAAAAAAAAATCCATAATACTTGAGTAATACCATGGATCACTGTGACCAAACCCATATTTATAGAATGATCAATAACAACAGAATGTACAGTCCATGAAACAAGATGATAATGGTAATGGCTTACAGAGAGTGCTATCATGTGCTTCTATAAGGCTGCTGTGCAATCCTCACATGCACCACACAACTACGGAATGAAGCAGCTGAGGCTTGACGATGTTTAGAAACTTAATCTTCAGTTGCCTCAGTGGTTAAGGGTAGAACTGAACTCAAGGCGGCATGTTTGATTCCTGAGCCAGACGCCTTCCTATATTCCCTTATAGCAGAGGCCAAAGCAGACCCTTCAAAGAATGCCAAGGCCTCACTCACACTATGTGGGGACAGAAAGCTTCAGGGCCAAAGGCAGAGAAAAACAGTCATCTCCTTCATTGCTTCACTTATGTACACTCCTCTCCAACAAATATTTCTGACTAAACAAACAGAAAAAAAAAAAAAAAGTCCTCAGTTGAGCATGCTTGTTCATACCTTCAGCACTTTCAAGCCTGGGGCAGAAGGATTGTTGGGAGTTCAAGGACAGTCTGGGCTACAATGTAAGATCTTGTCTCAAAAATTTAGTTACTTCAAATCTACTTTTAAAATGTCAGCAGAGGGGCTGGAGTTGAGCCTGGTGCTAGAAGATGGAGTGGGCCCTATCAGTGCTGTCCAGACAACAACAAAGGCTTTAAACAAAACAAAACAAAACAAACAAGTCAAGAAAAAAGGAGATGGAAGAGAACAGTCTACCGACATTACAGCCGCAGTGTTTGCTGGAGCCAACAGCCAGGGCCTGTGCATCAGCTCACACTCATCTCTCATTTCTCCAGTAAAAACAATTTGCACATCAAGTCCATCCAGTCAAACAGGCTTCTCAGGCTGTCCACCACCCAGCTGAACAGTTTAAAGGCTTTCCAGCCTGCAACCCTGAACCACAAGGACAGCAGCACTTCAGCTATCCCTCAAGGAGGACTTCCTAGGCACCAGGCCCTGTGTGCATTCAATCACTCATTGATTCTTATCACTTTCTTGAGGTGGGTGATATTACCACCTTACGTGTGAATCTTAGAGAATGTGTCACTTACCTATCCAAAGCCACAGGCTAGTTAAAAGAACGGCTGGGATTTGAAAGCAGACTGGAATCTCCAGCCCAGCTCTTTATAACTACCCTGCACCACTCTGCTATTACTGCAGCATCTGTTCACATCCACCTAAATCAGCCCAGGAGGAAGAAACGGATTACCGGCTCCTCCACAATAACCCAGTTCAGTTTCCAGCACCCATGTTGAATGCTTCACAACCACCCATAACTCCAGCTCCAGTGGACCCAAAGCCCTCTTCTGGCCTCTGTGGGGAGCATGGGGAATACAGTGAGATCTTACCTTGATCAATCATTAAGTCAGTGAGTTCCATACTATGTATGGGTGTTAGACAGACCAATTATTGTATCAAATTTAATCCTTGATATATGAAGAGAATAAAACCTCTGCTAATTTTATTTAAATGGTTATGAAGGATAAAGACAGTATAAGAAGGTAGGGAGGGCCAAGTATTTGCAACATAAGCATGGCAACCTAAGTTTGATTCCCAGCAACCACTAAAAAAAGGGCAGGGAGACTGACATTCGTCTGTAATCCCAGCAACGGGGTGGCAGATACTGGAGTTCACTGGCAGTCAGCTTAGCCAAACTGGTGAGCTCCAGGCTCACTGAGAGACCCTGTCTCAAATAACAAGGTAAAGAAAAAACAAAGACAGCAAGTGTCCACCTAAGGTCTCCACACTGATTCACACACAAATGCACATACATACCCACACAAACCAGTACATTTCCCCCCCACACAAATTCTTCAAATCCCTTAGAAGACTGTGCTTTGTTTGCAACCAAGCTCCCTGAGCTTAAGAACTTTCTTTTGTACTGCTAATATAAATAAACTAACAAGGGCAAAGGCTCCATGTATCAAGGAAGTAAAATAAAGACACAGAATAACAAAGCTGACGCTGATCTAGGTTCTAAGGTGAAACCACACTGAGCATTAGCTGAGTGTATACTCACGCAAAGGCCTAAACAAGCAATACAGCGAAGTGGAAAACTCCCCTGGCAATCTTCCATAAGTCACCTGTGACTAACAGCCAACAATGCACTCACTTAGAAATCAAGGATTTTTTAAATACTTTGAGGGCCTTACCCTCAGAAGTTTTCTACATACAAAAACAGCTACAACGTTAAGGAGTCCAACTTCCAACACTGAAAAGGTAGAAGAAGGGTGTAGGGATGTATGGTTCTTTGCCAGCAGAGATGTGGGCAGGAAGATTCCAAGTTTGATGTGAGGGTGAACTACACACTGAATTCAAGGCCAGCCTGAGGTTCTAAGCATGACCCTGTCTGGAAAGCCAAGAACTGAGGTTACTGCTGGTGCTGGCAGAGCCCTTGCCTAGCACTCAGGAGACCCGGGGTTTAATCACCAGCACTGGGGAGGGTGCATAAAAGATACAAAGCAAAGGGAAAGGTAGAACTCCCTAACAGCAACAATGTTTTTCTTGAAGCTGAAAAGGCACTGACAAGGCAACCGCAATACAATAGCACAGAAACATTAAGGACCGCTTACCAACATTTTGGAAATTCGTACTGGCGTTGTTAGGAAAGCTGCAGAATTCCGAGATGTTAATAGAATGACTTTCTAATACTCAGAGCTAAAAGACAAGGCCAAGTACCTTTTTAAATTATATTTACTTAGCCTTTTGGTTGTTGTGTGAATGTGTGTGTACCCAGCTATAGTGTGCACACGTTGAAGACAATTTTGGGGATTCAGTTTTTCCTTCCACCACTTGGGCTCTTGGGATCATTCAAACTCTGGTCATCAGGCTTGGAAGGAAGTGCCTTTACTGTGCTTGTGCAAAGCCAAATCTCTCTCTTTTGAATTTAAAACACTGTTTCTTCATACAGTATATTTTGATCATATTCTTTCCCATACCCCCAAAAAAATCTTAAGAAAGGATGAGGCAAGTGTGATTACTGGCCTCAACTCTATGAGAACTCTATGAGACTCACCAGAGCTGAACCAAGACTCCCCAGACAATAGCCAAGAAGCACTTCATTAGCCAAATGTGCTTCAAGGAAATTTGCTCCTTTTTCAGACAAAAAGTTAAAAGTTCTCAGAAGTGGAGTGAAAAGGTAAAAGCTATTTTGCACACATTCTGCTTCTCTGTCCCGTACAGTGCTGCACTGGACTGACGTACAAGAGGCTTTTAGAATGCAGAGACAAAAAAAGTGCATGAGCATCATGTGCTCAAGCAACAGGAATCTCATCCAGTACATGGGCATACTTAATAGTACATTATGTTTAACATGTATTAATGTTATATACAAAAGGAATAAATATCTGAGGCCTGCACAAGCAGAAAATACACATGTATACATTAAATGAAAACTGCAATACCATTATATCTGGAAGGCCAGAAAGTGTCGTAAGGAAGCTATCAGTGCTCATTCTGCCTTTAAAAGACCAAATTACTGAGGGAAGGGGGTAGGGGGCCCTCTCTGAGAACTGCCAGCATCAAGGCTCACTCTTGGTCTCTCTCATCCTTTCAGACTTTATGGCTAAGGCTGTGAGACTGAGACACAACCAGGGTCTTCCCAGCCTCACTCTGGGCCTCTTCAACTACCTCACTGACAGAACTACTGAGCCTTCCATTTTATTTGTTTTAATTTTACTTTATATGTTTGGATGTCTTGCCTGTATACATGTCTGTGCACCACTTGTATGCCCAGTGACCAAGAAGGCCAGAAGAGGGCACTGGATCCCCTGAAACTGGAATTGCCACACATGTGCTGAGTATCAAACCTGGGTCCTCTGCAAGAACAGCCAGCACTCCTAACTGCTGAGCCATCTCTCCAGACTGAATCACATAATCTTTATATAGCATTTTAAATATTTTAAAATTAATTTTTACTATTTTTAAGTGTGTGTGTGTGGGGGGTGTCTAAATAACAGGTGCCCACAAAGGCCAAAGGCATTGGAGCTAGTGGAGCTGCAGTTACAGGTAGCTGTTTGACAGAACTTGAGTCCTCCACAAAAACAAGGGTCTTAACTAAATCACTCCAGCCCTTAGATACCATTTTAAGAGTTAGATGAGCTGAAGAGAACCTCAGTGGTTAAGAATCATACTGCTCTTCCAGAGGACCTGAGTTTGGTTCCCAGCACCCACATCGGACAACTCACAACTACCTGTAATAACTCCAGCTCCAGGAGGGCTCCACTCTTCTTGTCTTTTCGAGCACTTGCACCCACATATAAAGATAGATAGATACACATAATTTAAAAAGAAATTTTTTTTCGAGCCAAGGTTTCTCTGTGTAGCCCTGGCTATCCAAGAACTCACTCTGTAGACCAGGCTGGCCTTGTACCAGAGATCCACGTGCATCTGCCTCCCAAGTGCCGGGAGACATGTACTACCACTGCCTGGCCTAAAAACATTTTTTTAATGAGAAAATAAAAGTACATAAAGGAGCTAGGGAGAATGCTCAGTCAGTAAAGTGCTTTTCTGCACAAGATGGGGAGCTCAGTTCAACCATCAGAATCCACACAGAAGCTGGATGGTGGCATAAGCCTGTCATCCCGGGCCTAGGGGGGCTGAGACAAGAAGACGCCTGGGATTCAGGGGTCAGTCGGTCTAGCTAAAGTAGGGAGGTCTAAGAAACTCTGCCTCAAAAAATGTGGTGGACTACTGAAGATACAAAATGTCAATCTCTGACACACACAGTAGATGAATGAGGAGCTGGAGAGATGGCCCAGTGTTTAAGATCACTGACTGCTCTTCCAGAAGACCCAGGCCAATTCCCAGAGCCCACATAGGACCTCAAAATCACCTGTAACTTCAGTTCCAAGGCATCCAACACACATTTCTGGTCTTGGAAGGCACCAGGCACACAGTGGTGCACAGACAATAAGCAAACAAAATGCATATAAAAATTTTGTAAATAGATGAATGAATACAAATCCATCTACAAGAAAGTAATTAATATGAGTTACTCAAGAGCCCCAAATGACCCTTTCCCTGTTTGGTTCCTAATAACATAGGAAATAGGTTTTGGGAGAGTCTCTCAGGTGATGTTCAAGCTTAGGAACAGCCACATCTGACAAGTTATGAACAGAGTAGGTATTACACAAGGAAAACAAACAAAAATATAGGCACAAAAAATACAACACAGAAACATTAAGTGGTCAATGATAAGTAGTCTGGATGAGAATAAAGTTTTATAAACAGAATTGCACATTTTAATTCTCTTTAGTTCTCCTGTGGAGTAGATAGCTCTTTAAAAAAACAAGCAAAGAGTGCTTTTGAATCAAATAGAATATTACTTTCATGTATTGTCTGGCCATCAAACTTGATTTTCATGTTAAAACTGGACTAGAATTCTCTTACGCTTACAGGCTGAGTCCACCTGCCTTCTAGATCTTGTCTGCAGGTTATTCAGGCATAGAAGAAGAGCGACAATTACCCTTCTTGGATCCGACCCTGGAAGAGGCGCTGAAGAACTTCTTCACTGTGGTGACCTTGCGGGTCTTCTCGTTGGTTTTCTTTTCCTCAAACTTGGAGAACGTGAGGGACTGGGCTCCCTGGCTGCTCTGGCTGCTGGCAAAGGCCTCTTCTTCCTCCCGCTGAAGTCTGAAATTCAGGGAGAAGACTGTGACTGATCTGGATGTTCTCCAAGCTTTTCTGGGGTCTAAAAGATCTTACTCAAATGACTGAAGAAGATCTGAAAACTTTATAAACAGAAACTAAATATACTAAGTGGATCTGAGGTCTCAGGTATATAACGTTAAGATGAAACGCTGTACCCGTTTCAATGCATGTGTTTAATCCCGAGTGCCTCAAAAATAAAAAAATAAACAAACGCCAAACATGTTTTACACTTACAATCTCAGTATTTGGGAGGCTGAGGTAGAAATGTCACTGAGTTTGAGGGCAGCCTGGGCTACAGACTAAGAGAAACAGGGCTAAGGAGGGCTGATGAGAAGGCTCAGGGTGTAAAGGCACTTGTTTGATCCTGGGAGCAGAAAGGGTGGGAGAAGAACTGTCCTCGGCCCACCACACAGGTACTGTAAGAATTTGCACACCCTCACACACAGCAAATCAATGTAGGAGCTGGACTGATGGCTCAGGTTTCAAAAGCACTTGCTGCTCTGTAGAGGATGTGGGCGAGGTTCCTAGCACCCACAGGGCACCTCCTGTAATGTCAGCTTTAGGAATCTGATACTATCTTCTGGTCTCCTCTGACAATGAACATGTGTGGTATGCTGACACACATGCAGGCACCCATATACATTAAAATAAATCTTAAAAAAGAAATGTAATCTAATTAATATTCTAATTAGAAAGAAATATAATCTAAAAAAATGTAAGGCTTAGGGTACAGCTCAGAATGCTTATACTCTCAAGGCCCTGAGTCCAGTCCCCAGCACTGCATACATGGTGGCAAACACCTGTACTCCCAGCACAGAGATACAGAGGAAGAGCCTGCCTCAAAGTATCATTAAAGGGCTAGCAAGATGGCTCAGGAGGTAAGGTAAAGGCACCTGCCACCAAGCCTGATGATCTGAATTCAATCCCTAAAACTCATCTGGCAGAAGGAGAGAACCTCTGGCCTCCATAGATAAAGATAACCCTCTCACAAAACTAAATAGATAATTTTAAATATATATACATTATATAACATATGAAGGTATGTATGTTATGAGGCTGGAGAGATGGCTCAGCAGTTAAGAGTACATACTGCTTTGTAGAGGACCCAAGTTCAATTCCTAGGTATATATAATTTAAAATATAAATAACAGGCAGGGTGTGGTGGTGCATGCCTTTAATCCCAGCATTCGGGCAGTAGAAGAAGAAGGCAGATCTCTGTGAGTTCAAGAACAGCCTGGTCTACAAAACAAGTCCAGGAAAGCAACGGCTATACAGAGAAACCCTGTCTCAAAAATAAATAAATAAATAAATAAATGGCAGGCTGGGGATATGCTCAAAGGTTATGAGCACTTGCCGCTGCTGCAGAGGACCAGAGGTCAGTTCCCACCGGCCAAGTGAGGAGACTCACATTTGCCTGTAACTCCAGCCCCAGGGAATCTTACTCCCACTCCTGGCCTCTGCATGTGTGTGTCACACACATGGCACACACACACAGACATATACACACAAATAAAAATAAATCTTTCAATGGTGTTGGAGAGATGGCTCAGAGGTTTAGAGCATTTGTTCTTGCACATGTCCCAGGTTCAATACCCAGCACTCAGATGGTGGCACACAACCATCTGTAACTCCAGTTCCAGAGATCCGATGACCTTTCCTGACTCCCAAAGGCACCAGGCACACACATCACCCACATACATACATACATCCAGGCAAAACACTCATATGCATGAAACAACAAATCTTTAAAAAAAAATTTTTCATAAACAAAGAAAGAAATGGGATGGGTACAGTTTGGAGGCAGAGCTAGTACCTAGCATGCATAAGGTCTGGGTTCAATTATCAGCACTGAAAGTTGGGGATGGAGTGGTGGCTTCTTCCTAATTGAGAACTATAAGAAACATCACTATCCAGCTGAACAATTCCTAATGCAGAGTGGAGAGCAAGTGTTTTTAGAACACTGGGCAAAAACCTTCAACAGAAGAAAGATCTGAGAAGGTTTCACAGTGGTTATCTTCAGGACAGCTCTACAGAATGACTAGAATTCTACTAAGTGACACTGTAGTTTCCAACAGGAACTTAGAGACATAAAGTGTGGTTTCTGGCCAGGCTTGTGACTCACATCTGTAACCCCAGTACTTGGAAGGTAGAGACAGGAGAATCACTAATGATGCAATGGACTATGTGCTGGATATATACAAGTTTCCAGATGATAAAGAACTCTGACTGTAAGCTAACTATCATTCTGGAATTCACTGTGTGGCAGAGAACCCAGAACATTATAAACCCAAAAAGTTACCATATTTATATCTGTACTTTGGCACTTAATGCAAGGAGCTATATCAGAACTTGAGAGGCTAGAGAGAGGGCTCAGCAGTTAAGATCACAGGTCCTGGAAGGACAGCTCAGGGCCCAGTTCTGAGCTCACCACAGATGTGAACATGAACAGCGCAGTTAGTCAACAAACACCAAGTAACTAGACTCAAAAAACCAGCAAAAGCTAGCATTTGGTTTGACCTTCTGCTGAGACAGCATTGTAGTCTACAGGATGTCATGGCAAAGGATCGGCTCTATTCCTGGCATCTTTCCAGGCCCTTCACTCACCAGTGTTTCTGCCTTTTTTTTTTTTTTTTTTTTTTTTTTTTTATCGTACTCCTATTTGGAGATGATACAACCACTTGGGAATAACTCAATTTTAAAGGAAAAATTAAATGTCCTCAATGCAAGGAGCATGTATACAGACAAATTGGTGTGATCACTGTGCTACACACCTGCCAAGCTGGGTGTGTCAAAAGAATGAGGAAAGCAGTATTGAGAGGCGCGTGCCAAACACATGTATGACCGAATTTCATCTTCACCATAAAGTATGCTTGCCTTCCAAAGAGGTAAGGACAGCACACTCCAACGTAAAGCAAACAGGTCCAGGAGGTGGGGCCAGGAGCTGCTGGTGCACGCCTTTGATCTCAGCACTCAGGAGAAAAAGCAGGTAAATTCCTGAGTTCAAGGGCAGCCTGGTCTACAGAGTGAGTTCCAGGACAGCTAGGGCTACACAGAGAAACCCCATCTCAAAAAAAAAAAAAAAGTGAAATCATTAAGTGCTGACCAGAAATAAGACAGAATCCTCTCATGACAAGCTGACCTGCTGATACAGCTCTCAACACAAGTGGTAAGCATGCTTGGGCAATGAAGGAATGTGTACCTGATTATGTCACTGGTAGCCACACCCCACCTCCACCTAGCCAGAGAGGTCCTTTTACCTTTCTGCCAATTCCCAGTCCTCTTGGATCTGCTTCTGCCGGGCCTTATGGTACTCCTCCCTCCAGCACTTGGAGCAGAAACCCTGCCAGGCAGGGTTGCCATAGTAACCGCATCCTTTCTTGCACAGAAGCTCAGACTGATCCACATGAATTCCCCGGCGTTCGGACTTCAGGCTCATCTTCTTCCTGATAACCAAGAAGTGAGAAAGCATTGAAAATTAACTTGCTACCATACTACTAAAATACAACACTTATGAAGCAACATACAAATGTCTGAGATCTTCAAGCCATAAGAAGAGAAAGAAAGAAGAGATGGAGAGAAGAAACTATGAAACCCAAAGTTAAACATGGCAAGTTCAAGCAGAATCATTGTAAAGAAAGGCTTCAATCTGAAGTCTGAAATACACAGAGCACCTTGAGACACTAATACTGGATTAAAGACCTAAGCATAGAGCTTTAAACTCCTACAGGAAAAGCTTGCTGACACTGGCAAGGACTTCAACACCCCAAAAGTACAGGTAACAGAAGCAACAGAAACAGAAAAAATGGGACAACAGCAAACTTGAAAACTTCTGCCCAACAAAGCAATCAATAGTAAAGAGGCCACCTATGAAATGGGAGAAGACATTTCCAACCTCTACAGAAAGGGTAAAACCCAGAGTATATTAAGAGCACTGGCGACCCAACAACAAAATAGACAAAAAACTGGAATAGACAACTCTCCAAAGGAAAAATAAAAATGTCCAAAAGACAGCAAGACCCTGTCTCAAAAATACTCTAAAAAGGGGGCCGGGGCTGAGAAGTTGGATCAGCAACCAAAAGATCCCTGCCACCATGGCTGATAGCCTTAGTTGGATCCCTGGGACCTACATGGCAGATGGAAAGACAACCCCTGAAAGCTGTCCACTGGCCTCCTCATGTGTGTTGCGGCGCAAGTTTACACACAAACAAAATTAATAAAACCTACTTTTTATAGTGGTCAACAAGCTGGGTGTGGTAGGTGCATGCTGTTAATCCTACCACCTGGAAGACAGAGACAGATGGCTCTCATTGAGTTCAAGGCCACCTAAGAATACACAGACTGTGTCTCAAGAAAACAAACAAAAATGATTAACAAAGATTGGGCTTGTTGGCATATGCTTGCAATCCTATCAATCTGGCAAAGGGGAACTGGAAGGCCTACCAGCTTATCGAATGAAACCTTATCCCAAAATAAATATTTAATAGTCAGAAAACACATGAGAGAAACTATTAGAATAAATCAAAACCACAATGAGACATCACTTCACACTGGTAGGAAGGCCATCTTAAACACACACACACACACACACACACACACAGGAATGTAGAGATACGAATGTAGAGAATCTGAACCCTTCTGTATTCTCAGTAGGAACGTAAAAAGGTACAGACAGCCACTAGAAACAACCTGTCCATTATAAATAGCCTGTTTTTCCACCCAGAAGGCTGGACATTAATAGCCTGGTAATCTCCATTATCTGTAGGACTAGGCCACACCAAGCTCCTGCACTGAGGCCCAGAGGTGGTTAATAGTCTAAATAACCTTTACATTATCTGTATAACCAGTGGCTCCACCAAGTTCCCACAACCAGGACTGGAGGTGGCTCATACCCCAAATGGCCTCTATACTAAATGACCAAGACTACGCCAGATACATCCCTAGGCCTAAGCTAATGCAGGTAGCTTATCTCTAGAACCTATCTTCTTGGAAGAAGTGACATGTACTTTGGGGTGAGTTTCCCTGTAATCAATTATGCCTCCTTGTGCAGCAGGGACTGCATTACACCAGGAATGTTTTTCAAAATTGTACTGTTTAAATATGCTGGCAATAAACCACCTGGCATCAGACTCCCAAAGTTTGATCCAGCCTAGATGACTAAGGCAGGCTGAACCGAGTTTACATTCTCACTAATTTGAGGATGGTTTTGCTGCAGGTGTAGCCTACCTTTACTTCTTATTTTTTTCTTCTTTATTATTATTTATTATAATTTATTCACTTTGTATCCCAGCTGTAACCCACTCCCTCATCTCCTCCCAGTCCCATCCTCACTCCTTCTCCCCGGCCCCATGGCCCTCCCATAGTCCACGGACAGGGGACTTCCTCCTCCCCTTCTATCTGAACCTAGCCTATCAGGTCTCATCAGGACTGTCTGAATCCTTTTTCTCTGTGACCGAGTAAGGCCACCTCACCAGGGGAGGTGATCAAAGAACAGGCAACCAAGTTTATGCCAGAGACTGCCCCTACTCCGCTCCCCTTACTAGGGCACCCCCATGGAGACTGAGCTGGCCATGGGCTACATCTGAGCAGGGGGTCTAGGTCCTCTCCATGCATGGTCCTTGGTTGATTCATCAGTTTCTGCAGGACCCCCTGGGCCAATATTTTTTGGCTATGTTGGTCTTCTTGTGGAGTTCCTGTCACCTCCTACCTTTACTTCTTAAAAGGTCTTATCTCATGTGTTTTGTTATAATGATGGAACATTTATAGTACAATATCCAAAGGCAATATCCAAAAGCAACTGTAAAGATTAAAACTTGGGCTGGGAGATAGCTCAATAGAAACAGTAATTGTTGTACAAGCATAAGGAGGAGTTCAACCCCCAGCATCACCTAGAAGCTGGGAATAGCAATAAGCACCTGTAATTTTAGTGCTGGGGCATAGGGACAGGGAGATCCTGGGGCTTGCTAGCCAGTTGGGCTAGCCAAAATGGTGAGCTCAAAGTTCAATGAGGGACCCTGCCTCAAAAAATAAGGTGAGATGTCATTTTCAAGCCTTTTTCTCTGCATCCACTCATATCTTTGATCTGCTCTGGTTCTGTGTTATGCCTGGCTTCCTTCTAAGGTTTACCTTGTATCCACATACTTTACTACTTAGCCAAAGGGTAAGATTGTGCTCAAACCTCTCTGGTCAATAGACCTTTGGTTCTGAGGGATAGAACCTGTGTATACAGAGGCAATATGAGGTGGGTCCAGAAAACATCGGAGTGTCTGAAGTCTCAGTGCATTTTTTGGCATATGCACAGATTCATTAGTAGGGTCGGAGTTTTATCTAGTGTGTGTGTGATGTATGTATATGTTCACGTTTAGGTGTAGATAGGTACAAATGTGTGTGCAGGTGTATGGAAATGAGACGTTGAAGTTAGGTAAACAACTTTCTTCAATTGCTGCCCACCTTTTATATATATATATATATATATATATATATATATATATTTATTGGGCAGATGTGCTGGCACACGCCTTTACTTCCAGCATGTGGGAGACAGCGGCACGCAGATCTCTGAACTGGAGACCAGACTGGTCTACATAGCGAGTTCCATGCCATTCAGAAGTACATAGTGTGACCCTGTATGGGCTGGGGCTGACAAGATGACTCATCAGGTAAAGGAGCTTGCTGCCAAACCCGCCAATCTGAGTGCAATCCCTGGGTCTGAAATGGTGGAAGGAGAGAACAGATTGCAGCAAGCTGTCCTCTGAGCTCCACACATGAGGCATCCACAGACATACATAAAGCACATGAAATGTAAAGAGAAAACTGCTCTTGCCAGAACAGTGGGAGAGTCTGTTTACCATGCAGTTGAATGAGCATACCACGTCTCTCCCCGTAACACTCAATAGACTAATAAGATCATAAAATCTGGTCCCTTCATCTTGGACTCCTTAGCTGTGACTCTGCCTGCATGGGACTTGTGAGGCAATGATACTCACTGTGACATACAGCCTACTCTACCGATATCCTGGATAGTGGGTCCCTTTGTTCCCATTACATAAGCCTCATGTCTTCTGCCTACATCCATTAACTCTGGCAGGCTCACTTGCTACTTATAAGCAGGGCAAAAAGTTCCAGTCCTTCACTGTCCTTAACATTCCCAGCATTCAATACACAGGAAGTCATTTACACCCTTAGCCATTAGAGCAATCTAAGGAGAAGCCATCAGATGCGGCTGGGTGTAGCTCAGTGGTAGAGCACTCCCCTAATTTGCTCAAGGCCCTGAGTTAGCTCCTGAGCACCGCCAACAACAAAACTCCACCAGCATGAGACATCACCCACACCTACCCAAATGACTAAAAGAATCACTGATAGCCAGGTGCAGTGGAGCACACCTGACCCCAGCACTCAGGAAGGCAGAGGCAGGAGGATCTCTGTGAGTTCAAAGCCAGCCTGATCTACAAAGAAAGTGCAGAAAAAACAACGAAACAAACAAAAAAACCTAGCCACAAAAAAAAAAAAAAAAAAAAAAAAAAAAAACAAAAGCACTGACATTTCACCACCAATGTACATTCCTGTACATTCTGAGAGAAATGTAGAATAGCACAGCTGACCGTTGATAGCTTCTTTCTCACTGTTTTGGTTTTCTGAGAGAAGGTCCAACTCTGAGGGCCATACTGATAACAAACTCATAGTAATTCTCTTGCCTCGAATCTCCTGAGCCTGGCATTCTAGGTGTGAGCCACCACACCCATTTGCACATTCTTATAATTCGTACTCATTGGCTCAACAAATACTTTTACATACTAACAGACACCTGGGTCAACCATACCCAAAATCTCTGTGTATCTTAGTGTTTAAGGTGGGCAGCATACAGCTCAGACCCTGAAGGAGAAAAACACTATTAACATTGAATACTCTTTTTTGTTTTGCTTTTCAAGATAGGGTTTCTCTGTACAGTTCTGACTGGCCTGGAATTTGCTCTGTAGACCAGGCTGGCCTCAAACTCAGAGATCAGGTGGTTTAAAGCCATAAACCACTACCCTGTTGCTGAATAATCTTAAAACAACTAAACTTCCCATATTTGAGAAACAAGCTAGCTATGTGTACATAAAATCTATATAATTCTAAAAACTGCTAATGACAAAATGTGTAATGAGGTACAAAATATTTCACTCACAGTAATATCAATATATAAAAACACCTAGGAAATATTTTAATAAAAAAGTTATGTGAGTTGGGTGGTGGTAACGCACTTGTTGAATCCCAGCATTCAGGAGGCAGAGGAAGGCAGAGCTCTGTGAGTTTGAGGCCAGCCTGGTCTACAGGGCAGCCAGGACTGTTACATAGAGAAACTCTGTCTCAAAAAACAAACAAACAAAAAGTTATATGGTCAGTGTAAAAATATTGATATGTAAGCAATGGCCACAGACACACCTATAGTCCTAGCACTTGGGAG